AGTTATTGCAAGCATGTCTGTAACATCTATTTATATGGATTTTATATAACTAAATTTTCATTTTAATTAATGGATTCCTGATAAACATGATTTCAAATTCTAATAGAAAATTACGTAAACAAGGAAATTAATTTTATTTATTAAAGAAACGTTTTCATTTATCGGGAATTTAGTACTCTTAACGTTTTTTAAATATTTTTCAATTACCGTTCTTACGGTTAACAAGATTAGAACAAGAGAACATTCGCCCTTCGATAGTAATTAAATTTGCAATTTGATTTTTAAAGGCGTATTTTGAAGTGAGAGGTAAAAGATATTATTCATAATTCCCCAGGCTTACAAGGGTTCTATTGGCTAAACGTACGAGTAGAACTTAGAAAGAAAAAAGCAAATAGTAAAGTGATACTAAACCGCAGGAAAGGAAGTGATATCTACAAAAAGAAAGTTAAGGGACGTTAAACAAAACGTAACAAAACGAACCTTCTATGAATATTCTTTTGTGCCGTGGTTCGCTTTGATTTTCTTTGAAAACAAGTCAAAAGTACCGAAAAAAGTTCCTACTTTCGTATCTTCATGGTTATGTTCGTCAAGGGCCCGATTAATTTTAATATATATGGTTTTGAACTGTAAATGGTGCCGAATTCTCAGGAATTTTGTAAATGACTTGGCAAAACGCGACATTATTTTTATATATCTACCACGTCACCCAGCCAAACGGGGAAAGACACTTTAACGGTAAAATATGTGTTCATCGAAACTTTTAATTTCGTAATTTGAGCAAAACATGTCAGAAAGGAAAGTGGATACGGAAATTGTGCGGAAGCAATATACAAATGATGCGAGCCTCATTGGTGAAGCTGAAATTATTGACGTGTCTGCTTTTAACTTCGATGACACTGATGGCTGGTAAGTGCTTTTATCGTAATCTTTAATTTTTGCGAATGTTTACAATTAGACATTGTTGGACTGCTTAAAGATCGTTTAAGTTACAAAGATATTTGAAGTTCTCTTCAAGGCCTTAATCTCCGTGTATTGTATAGTAATTGAAATAATTATCTAAATCGAATTATTTGAAAATTGATTCAAAAATTTATTCTTTTGCATAACAATATTATATTAGATGCTTCGTAAAATACTTAATTCTTTAATAGTAAATGCTAATTCTTAATGCTTTAATTCTACAATCTTTCCTGCATTATTACAGTTGCAAGTTTTATTTTTGTAATTACAATAATTTATAAACATTTAACAGATAAATATAGTTAATTAAGGAAGGTATATATTTTAAGCTTGAGTCATAATTTGTCAGATTCTAAATTTATCTGCAGGATGTAAATAGACTTCCTTACAAATGTATTCTTAACAGTAATATTTAATGATTATAAATTATCTAATACTATATAGTTTATACTTTATTGTTACTTTTTTTTTTTGTCAGGTTATACATACCAACAGAGTGTCAAACAGAATCTACTGTTCACAATTTGTACACCTGGTTAAAAAGTGAACCAGAGCTAAGTTTATCAGGTATTAAAGATGATAATCATTATCAATATGACTGTGTACAATTCTGTTTTTAATTTGATGTATATTTTATTTAGCTAATAGAAAATTTATCGATACAAGAACATTCACAAGATCTAAGAAACGGTCTAGTAGAACTAGTTTCGAATCTATTTTGGAGTCTTTATCTTCACCTGTCTCAAATTTATGGAAAACTTCAAATTTTTCAAATATAGAAGAAGATGTAAGTTTTTTTGTATATTTATGTTACACATATTATATATATGTAAAATAAAAATTTAAATATGTTCTTTCCTTTTATTTAAAGTTCAGTAAATATTCAGACATTTCTACTGCCAATAAAGAAGAAGCTGTGCCTCCTATGCTAAAAATGGTACCTAATGCAAATGTTAGTCTACTTGCTGATGAGGCTGCAATGTCATCAGGCCAAGAAAGCATGGAAGTATTTTTAAACATGTCTCATTCAAAGGGAATTGATTCATTTATTAATCTAATGGAACCTGGACTTAGTGATCCATTAATGAATGTTTCACAGCCTTCTATTTTTTTCTCTTCTATCACCTCATTGCCTAGAGATGATTCTTTACATAATGCAGAGTATAATACTGATGAGGAACCTGCAAATTTGACTCATTTATGTAGCCAAGGAATTGACAAGCGGGATGATAGTAAGGATTTAAATATCAATGAGACTTTTTTGAAAACTGATGAGTTAGACAATAACAAAAGCTACTGCCTGAGTACAGCAAATGCAACGTGTGTGAATAATTATGGTGCAAAGGAGAAAGAATTAAACGAAACTTACAATGCTAGTGCAGCTTCTACAATGGTTGTGCTGTCAAGTTCAGATAATCATAAATCTAGTACAACTAATTTGTCTTCCACGTTTGTATATAACGATGATGGTAATACAAAAATACTACAATCAGGAAATAACGGAAAGAAAAAATCGTGCAACTTAAATACTACATATCCTCCAGCCGCTCACAAAGCGGAGAATTCGCTTGTTCTAAATACCACGTATTCTGCAATAGATATTGAAAACGAAAATAATGATGCAACTGTGACTATCAAAAATGATAAACAACACGATAAAGATCAAATATCCAAAGTGAAAGAAAAAAATACAGTTCACAATGTATCAAAAAATATGGCAGAATGTTCTGTACTAGCAAATTCTTCCTTCGCTGATACTTTGAACTCCACTTTCAGGTTGTCTATTTCTCTTAGCAATCAATCTACTCCAAAAAATATGGAGCTGTTAAATTCGACATTCAGAGCAGCTAATAAACATTTAAATTCGAACTTCAAGGCGCCAACGTCATTGAGAAAAGAATTATTATCGGAAATATACAAAAGTGGAGATCATAGACTGGATAGTACGTTTAATCACGTGGCTAAAGAACACCAAAGTGTAAAGTCTAAGAAGGAAGGCATTGATGAGGTTCCCAGTCAGAATATTAAAAATGATATTCCTATAGAAAACAAATATAACACATATAAAAAGGAATCAACGGTGAACAAGATTAAGTCCCACGTTGAAATTACGGACGAAGCAGTAGCGTGTACACAAAATTTTCAAGACAAAAGGTACTATACTTTTACGAAGAAAGCTAATGCTCATGGTGGTAAGACTGATATGGAAAATGCTGAGTCTGTGGATAACGTGGATGCTACGTTTGTAAAGCCACTTCCGAAGTTGCAAAAACGAAAGCAACATATTCCACGGATGCTTTCAAAGTTACCACAATTTCTTCAGAAATCTAATCCGAATCTTGTGTCGAACTCCTTAAAAACTGTCAACATGACAGGGTGTACAAACGCGTCTAACTTTGGGTATATGAAAGGTTCGCAACCAAATATAGTAAGAGACGTTGAGAAAAGTTTAGCAAATAAATTGTATCCTCTGGGAAAAGTGAAGAGTGGTTCTGAGCAACGACTTTTGGAACTTAACACAGGTGTAGGGGAACTTCAAATATTGGGTGCTGGGGGTTCTACAGAAAGTATTGAAAGTACACAGAGTGCTCATAGTGCACCTGATTTAGATGATAGACTCAGTACATGCTCAGATTGTAGCCACAATTCGTACATAACACAGCCAATGAATATTGAGCAATTGCATCAGATAGTGAGGATGCAAGAAGAAAGTGAGTTGTGTTTTCTATTATTATATTATAATGTTAATATTGTATTCAATTTTATACTTTGTCTCAATCAGGCCTGAAGCAGGATGCAACACCTCAATTAAATAGGCGAGTTTTAGATAATACTTGGGATGATATAAAAAAAGATTTGCCTTCTCCTATAACGAAGAATGGTATTGATGGTTGTGAAAGGGATTCACCACTAAGTATGGATTATGTTAAAACAAGCTCTCCAATATTAAGTCCTACAAGATCTAGTCAGTCAATAAATACTGATGGTAGGTTAACAATTTTAACATTTTAATACAATTTTTTTTAAACAGTTATATATATTTTTTAGTGTAAATTTAGATACATGCAAAAATTACTCACAATATATTTTTCAAGGTCATTCTA